TTTTTTTTTGTCTTTTTGAGACAGAGTCTCTCTATACAGTTCGGGTCAGGCTGGCTTTGATCTCACTTTGTAGCCCAGGCTGGGGTCTAGAACTTGAAGTGATCCTCCTCCTGCCTCAGCCTCCTGAATGCTGCAATTACAGGTTTGTGCCACTACATCTGGTTTATCAGAACTGCTTCAGAAAGTGGCAAAAATGATGGGGTGTGTTTAAAGTAAGGTGGAGTATATTTTGAGGGAAATTAATAGCAACATATCTTTCAGCACATTAACTTTTAAAAAAAAATATTCAGCAAGTTAAATATTTTGGTCACACCTTGAACACTTTTGGCACTGGGAATCAAATTGGGTACCTTGCGCTGAGGGCAGGTGCCGTGTTGCTGAGCTGTCTCCGAGTCCAATACGCATGCTTTCACTCCAGGTTTTAACATGATCGTAACGTGCGTGATACTCCACTCAGCACAGCTGGAAATGAAGTTGCTGGCAAGTAACATCAGCATCAGGGCGGAGCGCCTTCCAGGGACCCCCACGCGGTCCTGAGATGGGGGGCTGGGAAGGACCTGCCCCGAGTTCTCCAGACAGCCCAGAAGGCCTGCAGACAGCAGCTGATGAGAGATGATCATTTTTTAAGAACAATTCAAATGTTTTAAAAAGAGTAAAAAAAACTGTCTAACTTGAAGTTACTCTGGGTTACATTCACACACAGGGTTACATCACCTCAGCAAAGCCCCGCCGTCCAGGACATACGCGGTCATGAGCGGAGCCCACGCAGGATGAGAACATTTGGGTCTGACACAGTGAAATCCTTCTCTACTCGCACGGGGGCAGGGGTGATAATCTTGACTTCCAACCCAGAAAATACATCAAACCTGGTCTGGAAAAATTTAAAATAGCCTACTGCATTTGTTTAAGCAAGCAGAAGTATTGTAAGAGACAGTCTGGGTTCACTTGCTGTTGGGAATCTCTTTTCCATCAACTTAGATTTGACTTGCTGAATTGTTCCACTGGCAGTATCTCCCTGTGAGAATGTGATTGTGGTGACTGATCCATGTATAAATGTGTACATATGACGCATGTGATTAAAATTATTTCCACTGTGACATTTTTTTTTTTTTTTTTTTTTTTTTTGTGGAACCAGGGATTGAACTCAGGTCCTTGCGCTTGCCAAGGAAGCACTTGTTCCACTGAGCCATGTCCCTGGCCCCATGTGACATTAATTCTTAAAAGTCTACTCCAAAACATTCAAAATAACACCGTTGCAAGATTTATTTCCAAATGGTGGTCTCCGTACTGCAGGCAGCAGGTCTGCCTTTAGCGTGTCTCACCTTCTGCTTGTCTCAGCCCTGCTGGGACATGTGTGTAATGCTGAGCAAGGTAGAGTAGCTTGCTTTTCTGATGAAACTGAAGGAACAGACACATGGTGGGGAACAAGAAATTATTTACTAGTATGTCATTACTCTTGTTCATGAACTCCCTAAAGCATCATAATAACAAGGGTTTTCCAGGTAAAGGACTCGTGTGACAAGGACTCAGCAGCCGTCACCATAGCTGCCAAGCCATCCGAAGCAGCTGGTGCTCTGCTGCTTCTACTCTAGCCTTTCCTAAATGAGGTGGGCCGTCCTGTATCCTGGCCCTGTCTCGAGGAGAGGGGGCCTGGCCGGCCGCTGCACGGGAAGCTCACAGCGTTCCCATCCTGGAAGCCTGTTCCCTCCTGATGCAGCTTCCGGGCTTGAGGGGCCAGACAGGACACTGAAGACACAAAGACGGGCACCAGGGACACCATCAGCTTCCAAGTTTTATCACGTTTCCATTTATTAGAAAGAAAAAAGGTATATTTAAGTACCTGACTTTGAAAAGAGTTGTTGACACGGGCTTTACATCACCAGTCACAACTTTTAAATGCCACTGGTCCTTCTTGACGCAAGAGGAAATCAAGCTGAAAAGCCACACGCCTAGACGTTGAGGTTGGCGTTTCCATGGTTTGACATAGCACCTTAGCCCAGAACTGCGCACGGGCTCTGGGCAGAAGAGCGGACGCCTCTCCTCGCGCCGGACTCCTCCCTGGGGCGGGCCATGTGCATTCTTCTCCCAGCCTGCTCTCGGCAAGCAGGGTGTCGCCTGCTGTTACGACCATGCCCCAGGGTTGTACTTGAATAAACACTTTTTTTTAACAAAATTTTAAGCGTGTTTCTTTTTTTCTGTTTACGGTCTGCTTTTCAGTTTAATTTTCAAGTGGGAACTTGTACAGGTGAAGTAAGATGAAGGCACAGGAACGGCAGAAGACATGAAACCGATGAACTATCACCACGTTTGCATGACTTCATTCAAGTATGTCAGTGTAGATGCTTCTCAGTAAGTGACTAGCTTAGATATCCTGAAGATGGAGAGAAGGCGCTTGTCCGGCACGTGTCTGCGCTAAAGCTTCTGTTCTCCCAGCCACAGTGGCTTCCTGCAGGTAGCTCTGTGAGTGTCACCAGGTCAAGCTTTAGCCAGCTGTGCTGCTGCATGCCATCCATTCAGTCCCTCTCCTAAGCAAGAGAGGAAAATCAGAAAGAATGAGCCAGCCAGGGCTGGTGAGATGGCTCAGTGGTCTAAAGCACCTACTTGGAACAAGCTTGGCAGACACAGGGACCATGGTTCGATCCCCCAGCACCACATGCCAGCCAGCCCCGCCCCCTGGTGGGCTGAGCTGGCCACACACACACACAAATAAAAAAAAAAAAAAAAAATTAAAAAAAAAAAAAAAGAATGAGCCAGCCAGATTCACAGACGATTCTATGCTTACAAACGCCAGTGCCCTATGCATTGGGCATGATGCTGGGGTGAGTGCAAAACATGCTGTTCCCTCTGGCTACATGGAGGGAACTGCGGGACAGGTTCCAGCGGCTGGGACCTCCCAAGCTGTCCAGTGCCCTCTCGGAGGCCAGAGCCGTTAGCGTGGCAGGCTCGGTGAGTTCAGTTCGCACTGCTGTGGGCAGCCTGCTCTCTGACGCATGCAGAAACAGTGCTTGGTAAAAGCTGTCCCAGAATGCTCTCAGACTGACCTCCTTCCCACAGTTCGGCTTGGTTTAACCCTGACTTAAGGTCTGCACTCCCTTCCTGTGCACAGAGGCCTCCTATATAACTGAAGGACAGCACGGGGGAATGCGTCTAAGACCCATCGACAACTACTGAAGCAGCAGGTGTTATTGTCCTCAAAAATTATAGATGCCCAAGTAAGGCTTTTGCCTTATAAAAATCTCATTCATGAATACTTTGGAATTAGAAGATAAGCTACATCCACCTGCCTTCCCTTTGGGCCCATGACACCGAGCACTTGGGACATGAGGGGGTCTGGCTCTTCTGGGGCGCAGGTGTGCTCCCTGACAGTGGTCGCAGAGAAGCCCCTGCTTTTGTGATTCTTCCTCTGGTCTCCTTGTGATTCTCAACTTTCTTCCCCAGTAGTAGGGATTGAGCCCTAAACCATTTTCTCACTGAACTACATCTTCAGCCCTGTTTTGAGAATCACTAAATTGCTTAGGGTAGGCCCACACTTGTGATCTTCTGCCTCAGCCTCCTACAGTGTTAGGATTACAGGTGCACATCCTCACCCCTGGCAGTAAACATGTTTGTAAGTTACACTTGAACCATACTTGAATTTAAATTGCACTTACCTTTGACCTGGGGGGCTTCAAGGGCAGCGGGGAAGCTCAGCCCAAGCCCCTCCAGCCGCTTTCTGCCATGTCGTTGTGAATATACCACATGGCTCTGTCCTTGCAGCAGCCTTCCTGTGGTCTGATGGTCCAGGCGGAAGGCTGAGAGAAGCTGAAGTAGAGAGCCCTACCGGGTTTCTGCACCGCAGAGGGAACAGTGCAGGCCAGAGGCAGAGGCCAAGAGACCTCAGGAAACAGCAAGGAGCCCGCGTCACTACTACTTACGTTTCTGACCAAGTCCCTCACATAGGGCAGCAGGTTCTGATTAATAAAGTCTGTTGCTGTGTGAAAGACGACGCGGAGCAGGGCTGGCGTCTGATCAGCCACCCTTCTGGCCAGCAGCATGGTCAGGATCAGCGTGGCCTTCTCCTGCTCCAGGTCCGCAGGGCAGGTCTGCATCAGCTCCCTCACAGTGGAGGCCAGGCAGCGCCTCCTGCCCTGCATGGGGGAGCACAGGCAGTCACCAACCTCGCCCGAGAGAGAAGCTATGGTAGAAGCGTGAAGCAGCACTCAGGGAAGCACCAAGGCACTGATGGAGAGCGGGATGGACAGTTTGTTATGGGGAGGCAGCGGGCAGAGGCGGCCACCCCCTGTGGGGACGGACACTCACCAATGCACCCTGCGACACTTAAAGGACTGACTTCCAGAGGTGTTGGGCCCATTTTTTCGGTAATGTCCTCCCCCACCCTCCCGCTGCCTATAGATAGGAGAGGCAGCCCCCAGACCCTGGGACTTGAAGGACACTCAGCCCCAAGGACGCATGCAGAACCAGCTGTGCAGAAAGGGTCCCGCTGTGTTCTGGAACGGCTGCCAGCCGAGCACCAGTCTCTGCCCCCCACAGCACCGAACAGCAACAGCATGGTTGCTATCTGTGCCCTATCCATGAAGCCGGGGGAGCGGCAGGCTAGCCTGTCACCTTTTCAGTCACATAAAAGTTCTCTCCTGCCATCTCTGACTCTAGAACAGGGAGTAAGTTATTTCCGGAAGCATCAGGCACACTTTGCTACACTTCTGCAGGCTTTCACCCAGAAGCGCCAGACCGTGACTTAAGATGTAGATCTCCTAATCTGCCTAAGGTCATGCTCTCGTCCCTGTCCTCTGGGCAAAGCTCCTCAGGGAGAGTTAGGAGGGGTCGCCTCACGACAAACCGGAGCGCGGAGACAGCACAGGCTCTGCCTGCTCAAAGAGAAAGTCCTGCCTTTCCCAAGCACCCTCACCAAGTCACCCAGTCACTGACCTCCTCTGACAGACTTGGGTCCCGGAGCTGCGCGCTCAGCCAGCTCACCACCCGAGGCTGGATTCTGTGGTTCATCTCATCCCCGATTGTCGCCAGTTGCCGGGCAATGTGCAGAGTTATTTCTTCTAGACTTTCAGAATCTGAGGGTTCAGGCAGAGGGCAGCAAAGACCCAGAAGGTTCAGATGATGGCGCTGTTTGACACCCTGGTCCCACCCCAGCCCACCACAGGATCAGGTGTGGCTCCTGGGCCACTACACCTGCCCTAGCAGGCCCAGGGTGCAGGGCTGTGTGGCTGCTGCCCGGGGGTCCTTAGACGAGTGTGGCAGTGGCTTTCATGGCTGCCAAAGGCGTGTATCAGCACTGGACGGGTGGCAGCTCCCAAGCCTTCAGGAAGGAGGAGCTGTGGTTGCCACATGTGTCCCCCTCTGCCAGCGCCCAGCCACATGGCCTCGCAGCTCCTATGAAGTAGCTGCGGGGTGCACTCAGGGATTGAACTCTGGCCCCTGCGCTTGCTAGGCAAGCTTATTCCACTGAGCGATCTCCTGGGCAACTGGGGTGCATTCTTGGTGGGGTGCATTCTGCCTCCACCTCACTAACTGTGGCATCCTGCCTCCCCTCCTCTACTCTGCCCCAGTCTTTTCTCATTTTCTTTTTTTCCTTGACACTTGCTATGTATTTTACCCATTCCTGCTGTCTGACACACACAAATATAATGTCTCCAGCTGACTGCTGAATACCCAGCGCTCCATGCAGGGAGCTGAGGCAGTGGTGTACTTGTGATCCCAGAGGCTTGGGAGGCTGAGGCAAGAGGAGCCCAGGTCTGAGGGCAGCCTGGGCAACTTCAGGAGGCAGGAAGAAGAGTGACTGCTTTGACTAGGGCATGAGGGCCTCCTTGGATCCTGCACTCTGGGCCTCTCATTTGGTTCACTGCAACTTGTTTGTCGGTTGAGACAGGGTCTTGCTATGTAGTTCAGGCTGTCCTTGAACTCAGTGATCCTCCCGTCTCAGCGTCCTGTGCACTGGGCTGCAGGCGTGCACCACCATACCCGGCAGCTCAGTGGAGCTTTGTTCTCTTTTTATTGTAGTGCTGGGACCTGGGTCTTTCTCTGGCCAGGCAAGGACTCTCGCACTGGGACACACGCATCTGGGCACCGCAGCACCTCTGCCCAGCACCTCTGCCCTGAGGCTCCCTCTGCTTAAGTGACAAGTCATGCCCCAAGCTCCAAATCCTTTGACTTACCTCCCTCAACTGGCTTTGCAGCTCTTACCACACTCCACCGTGCCCTGCACCTTTCCTGGGCCCCAGGCCTCCTGTCCTCAGGTCTGTGGTGTGAGTCTCTCTTCCCAGAGAACAACTGTGCCATCCGTCAAGGCTCGTCTCTACGGCAGCATGGCCAGGACACTTCCTAATTCCCCAAAGAGCAGCAAGCACCACTTCTCCTCCGGCTCCCTCAGTCCCACCCCAGGCCCCTCATCTCAAGGTCTTTCCACCTATTCAGGTGACTTGTCCCTGTCCTTTCTCCCTTGGCCACCAGCTCCGTGACCATCAGCATTAATCAGTGGGGCTCAGGCAGCCAGTGTTCTCTTAAGCCACAAGCCACATTTCTGCCCCTAGAGCTGGGAAGGCTACAAGCATGGCCCCACAATCACTGCAAGCACTACCTGGATGGAAAGCAGCGTGGAAGGTGGCAGGACAAAGAGCAGGCCGTGGCTCTGGCCACAGCCGCCACACAGCAGCTCCTGATATCAAAGTCACCCCTGCCCATGCCTATGCCTGCTCGAGTCCTTCCTTGTGCACTGTAGGACCAGGGAAAAGATCTGCTGGCTGAATCTGAAAGTGCAGAGTCTTGGTACATCCTGTGTACTATTCACAAAGGGTAGGTCTGCTATCAGTCTCCCCCACAGCCACCAGGGGGCAGTGCAGCCCCTGCATGAGACGCAGGGGCAGCGGGCCTTGGCAGGAAGGTCAGGGTAGGCTGGGGCCACATCCCCACCATCACTGTGGGTTTCTCGAGCAGCGACATTAACCAGGCTCAGGATCTCTGAGGAGTCCCTGGGCACCCAGCACAGGGCCAGGACCTGTGCATTATACAAAAGTTTGTCACTGCTACAGTGAGCTTTACCTAAGCTCCGGTTCAGCTCTCTCAACTGCCTCTCATGGGGCCGCCACACAGCCACATCATGTGCTCAAGGGGGCTCTGGAAGGTGACTGGACTCATAAGTCGCCAGCATTCCTGGAAGGTGGGGAGGAGGCCAAGGAGACCACGGGAGAGAGGACCTGGTGACCTCTCTTGTCCTAGGCCCCACGGCCAGCCACACCACAGGCCCGCGGCAGGGCAGCTGGTCCCAGAAGAGGTCTGGGCCACGCCAGAGCTCCCCTTGCTGCAGGGATATGACTTGGGTAGCTTTGGAGGGCTTGGGCCCAGTCATCGAGGTCTTCACCTGGAAGCGCAGTGCAGAGTCCCTCAGTGTCTAGCTGTCTTTTAGGTTCCCACAAATCAGAACATAAAGGTACAAATCACTATAAAAATGCTGCACCTCGCAGGCTGGGGTTCACCTCTGCCTTCACATGGCGTGGAGCAGTGTTAAAGTTGCCGGCAATGCCCCAACTCGCCAAACCGAGTGCAGGGCACGGGCCAGGGCACCCGCTACCTTTCAAAGCTCTCTAGGCCTCTGAGCTATATAAATATAGTATAGAGTCCAAATCAATGGTTTCTAACCTTTGCTTGCATAGACAGTTGAGAAAACCCGGTAAATGCTGTTCTGCACTGGCAGTCAGGAACCAAGTATGGACTGCACAACCCCTAACAGGACGCACGGTGCCTGGAACTCCAGCGTGGAGAGGAGCCCTAGGCGCTGTACAGTACTGGGGACAATGGGGACAGATCTGGGGGAGGGAGGCGCTCCGTGCCCACCTGCCTGTCTCCTCGCCCCGTACGGGCGGCTGGCCCGGTTGCCGTCCGTCTGCAGCTCATCATCGTCCCGGTCCGCCCCCAGCCCGACAGGCAGCTCCTGGCGCAGTGACTTCAGCTCTTGGTGGAAGTTGTAGTTGTTGCGGCTTTGCAGGAAGCCAAGCAGCAACAGATTTGTCACATGTGCATCCCCGAGGCCTGCTCCATTGCCAATCTAGGATGAAAGGGGGGCAGGGCGGCTCCTGGGAACGGGCCAGCATGGGCCCCTGCAGCGGACTTGGCCCGCAGAACCTCACTCTTGAAACGATTGGCAATCCTGGGATACCAGAGCCCGGGGAGGGTTCGGTGGCCAGAGCCCGGACTACAGCACCAGTTTAAAGCAGTGCCCCTAAAGCTCCAATTCTGCAGGCAGCAAGCTGCTGAGCTCCTGAAAACATCTGGCCAGGGTGAGCTTCCACAGATTGAGAAGGTCCGTGGAAGCCAGGCGGGTAGCAATCTTACATGGCATCCCGGCACTGATGCAGTTTTTGCCAAGGTCCTCTGTCAGCTCGAGCCCCTCACTGGCTGTGCTTCTAGCAGTTAGTGGCTCCTTCTTTTCTGCCACCTCCTGTGACAGGCCCAGAATGGTACTGGGCAGGGTGACCACAGGCCAGCAGTGTCTGCCTCTGGGCTAGCTCAGTCTACTTTCGGGGTACGTGCCCTTAATCAAAAGGCCGCAGAGCCATCAGGGCGGCGCCTGCTCTGACTGCTCTTCCTTTTCCTCTTCCTCTCCCCATTGTCCATCTCCATGGGTGGCACCTGCAGCCACAGGTCAGCGCAGGCAGCCGCTGTGGGAGTGCTGGGAGCACTTCTGGTACCCTGGCCACGCTGGGGCAGGAGGAGCCGCAAAGGTGGGTACTGTGAGCAGCAGCGGCTCCAGGTGCCCGGACTGGCCCCGGCTCTACCACAAAAGAGGCAATACAGGGCCCAGAGGACCAGGGCTCCCAGGTCCAGCTAGACAAACGCTAGACATTCATGGTGTTGTAAGAGGAAGTGAGGAAGATGAACATGCAGCAGGAGAAAGGTCTTTTTGTCTTCTAAGTCTTTATTGACTTACACTAAAAAGCCAAAAAACTTCTGTTGGACTTTTTTTATTTTTTATTTTTATTTTTTCAGAACCGGGGATTGAACTCAGACCCTTGCACTTGCCAGACAAGTGCTTATTCTACTGAGCCATCTCCCCAGCCCCTGGACTTTTTTTTTAAAAAAAATTTATTTATGTATTTAGGACAGAGACTACAAGCTCTCACTACACAGATCTGACCTGCAGTGATCCTCCTGTTTTCAGCTTCCCAAGTGCTGGGATTACAGATCTGAGCCACCACTCCCAGTGTCAATCGCTCTCTCAGTGTGCCGTGGGGGCGGGGCCAGCACAGCATGTAGTGCCAGGGATTGACCCCGGTCCTTGCGCATGCCTACGCACGGGCTTTAGTCTGCTGAGCTAGCTGGCCGGCCCTTCATCGGACTGTGTTTATAGGGCACACTGCTTTAATTAAAATGCTGGGGCTGTAGCTTAGTGGTAGAAACTGTGCTTAGCATATGTGAACAAAACCACATATAAACTAGCGTAGCGTGAGATGGTCAGCACACAGCTCTTCTGCCTTTACTTCCTCCGAATCTGCACAAGGGAAAGCTCCACAAAAGCTCCATGGCATCCATTCCTTACAATTCCTGCCTAACACATGTAGTTCAGCTGAGCAAGCCCAGATGCTGCCCACCTGCCCCACGGAGACAGCGTGCTTAGGAAAGAAGGCGGGCCTGGGGCTGCGTAGGGGCCGCGTTGTGCACCGCAAAGAGAAACACTCAGGCCTGACCCATGCCCAGCAATGGGGTCTTCTTTGAAAACAGGGTCTTCACAAATGTAATCAGGTCAAGAACCTTAACTGCATTTACAACAAGATCTAAATCCTGTAACTGGCATCTTGATAAGAGAGGACAGGGAGGTTTGCACACAGGGATACCTAGGGCGAGGCCATGTGAAGGCAGAGGCTGGCACAAGAGGGACTGAAGCATCTCTAGGCCTGGAAGCATCAAGAGCCAAAGGCGGGGAGCAGAGCAGGCCTGCTGCAGGCTGCAGCTCACAGGATGTCACCCCTCAGGCTCCAGCCACAACGCGATAAATCCCTGAGATTTAAAGCCACCCAGTGGGGGCTACTTCACTCCAGCAGCCCTAGGCCTCTGTCCCAGGGCTCCATGCCCTGTCCTGAGCCGTCTGGGACTCAGACCCTGGGGTTCTGTGTGCCCCTGGGGTTCCTCATTGCCGCGCTGGCAGATATGGCTCCCCTGCAGGGGCAGACACATTCTCCAGGACCCAACCCCCCACCCAAGAGCACAGCACTGACCTGGGTGTCCATGGCACCGGCAGCTGCGGGCTCCCGCTCTCCTCTGGCTCGCAGGGGTGGCGCTCAGCAGCCTGGAACAGGACACAGCCACAGAGTGGGTGGCTCAGCCTGCAGGGACACCGTGAGGGCACCTGAGGAAAGGAGGAAGAAGGAGGCCAGGGCAGCTGAGATCCCCTTCACCCCATCTTGCGGCCCCAGGTGCTCAGCCCGGGTCCTTGCTTTCCCCTTAAGGCAGAACCGCAGGCAGCACCCCGAGGGGACACTCAGGGCCCTCAGGGTCCCCTCATGAGTCCTTCTGGGCACTGTGACACTCTACTCCTTTTTTTTTTTTGTCTGTTTTTTGGTACTGGGAATCAAACTCAGGACCTCACACTTGCCAGACAGGCGCTGTGCCACTGAGCTAAACCCCCAGCCCTAATGCTTTCTTTTAAAGTAAATGCCTACATTAGTTAGTAACTTTCCTAGGAGAATAAATTCAGTTAATAGCCTACCTATAAGTTTTCAGGGAATCTGTCCCCTTTTTTTGGCGGTTCAATAGTTTCATTGAAAGGTAGATCTCCCAGTACCAAACATAACGGGAGGTGGTTGGGTCACCACTGCCAACTCAAAATTAATACTAATTGTTTCCAAATACTGAAATATATCAGCTTTTTGGTAAAACTGAAGTTATCCACAAAACGTGGTTTATACAAGTGAAAGGCAGAACATACTGTGGCTGCTTGCCTTAGTTTCAGCGCTTGTTTAGCTGTACACCTCGATATCCATTGTGGGTAGACTCAGGCGTCAGGCTGCACACTGGGGACTGAACTCGGGGCCTTGTGCATGCGAGACAAACACTCTGCCACTGAGCTACATACAGCCCTGCGCTGAGCAACTGTTTGCAGCCCTAATAATACATGAACATCTGCTTACGCTCCTTGGCCCACATGAATTCCAAACACTACCTGAGTGAATTTTAGGGAAGGGTCTACAGGGTGTTCAAGGCTTCACTACTAGATCAGACTCATAGTGATCCTCCTGTTTACAGTCTCCCAAGAGCTGGGATTACAGGCGCACACCACCACGCCCAGTCTCAGTTGCCCTCTCAGTGTGGGGGTGGGGCAGCACAGCAGGTCCGGGGATCGAACCCCTGGTCCCTGTGCCTGCTTGCAGGTGCTTTAACCCACTGAGCTATTTGGCCAGCCCAACTACCTCAGTGATTTCATCACTACTTACTTTTCTTAACACACGCATATGTTTGTGAAGGTATGTTCTATCCTTTCCCCCTCAAAAAAAAAAAAAAAAGAAAAGAAAAGAAAAACCTAGCAGCAACGTCAGTTTCATACAGACAGTCCATACTAAAACACCTATTTATGTAATTACCATTTATGTAAAAAACAAAAGAACCCACCTTATCAAAAGCTATCAGCTGGGGCTGTCGAGATAGCTCAGTGGACTAAGCACCAGCTTAGTCAAGCACAGGGACTGGGGTTCAATCCCCAGCACCACAAGCTGCGCTAGCCCTGCACCCTGGGCCCATGGAGCGGGCCACCAAGACTGGGCGTGGTGGCACACGCCTGTAATCCCAGCGCTAGGGAGGCTGAGACGGGAGGATCTGTGTAGTGAGACTCTGCACTGAATACATGTTAAAAAATAAATAATAAATATTATTAGTTGTTAATATTATTATTGTTTTTTTTTTTTATATGCAGGGTCTCACTATGCAGCTCAGACTCATAGCCATCCTCCTGATTTCTGCCTCCCTAGTGCTGGGATTACAGGTGCGCGCCACCACGCCCGAACTCCATCACCAGCTCAGCGCGCCTGGGAGCGGGGCTGGCGCAGCAAAAAGTAATTTTCTTCATGCCTACGTTTCTTAATAATACACAGATGTGTTAAATGTTAACATTTAGTTTTAAGAAGAGATAAATCATTACTGTAAGTTTAGAAGGCAAGAACATACACAATATATGCCATGACTGAATTTACATTTTTATGACTATAATTCCTTTCTAGTATTCTAATTGCTGTAGCAGGATGTTCAGGGATACTGCAATGTTCAGAAACCCAACACAGAGATTATGTCCTCTATATTACCTTTTTGTTTTTCTCTCTTAGTCTTTTTTTTTTTTCTCCAAATGCCTTCAGGGCAGGTTTGGCTGGCTTGAGTTGTGGGGATGAACCACAGCAACCTGAGCCTGGCTGCTTTGTTGAAGCAGCCACTTAAAGAGCTGAGCTAAGGGGCAGGCCCCCCTAGTCTTTTTTTTTTTTTCTTTCTTTTTTTTTTGGTGATACCAGGGATCAAACTTAGGACCTTGCACTTGCCAGGCAAGTACTTATTCCACTGTGCTTTTTTAGTCTTTGAGACAAGGCTTTACTATATAGTTCAAGCTGATCTTGAACTCACTCCATAGCTCACAGTGGCCTCAAACTCTCAGTGATCCTCCTGCCTCAGCCTCCCAAGTGCTGGGATTACAGGTATGCACCACCATGCCCGGCTCACCTTTTAAGATATACTATTCAAGTTCATAATGATTCTTCTTATAAGTTAACAGTCTCAAATTAGTTCACATATGGATTAAACTTTGGTCCTGTTTTAACTGTAATCTAAGCACTGGAGAGACTGAGGCAAGAAGATCACCGGGAGTTTGCGGCCAGCCTGAGCTACACAGTGAGTTCAAGACTAGCCGTAACTACACAGCAAGACCCTAACTCAAAACAAAACAAAAATCTTATGTGAAGTACAGCAGAAATACAAACAAAAATCTACCACTTTGGAAGAAGTACGCTTTGCTTCAAGTGTCACACCCAGGGCGGTCTCCACACGTGACACCTGCAGGGGCCATGCGCAGGCCCTGCTTACGCTGCTAACACACGCGTTCTGCTTCCTGTACTTGCTCGTGGGCACAGACGACATCCTTCTGCTTTCCCGCTGTCGCAGCCGGGCTTTGTGACGCTGCGCCTGCCTGCCCACCTATCAGCGCACCAGTGAGCTCCATAACTTCTTGTGAAGTTTCCTGGACAGAAGCATTGTGCTTTTCCTCTCATGTGAGTGATTTCTTCTGAGCTCTAAGAAAATTTCTCCGTAATATTTTGCACTTGCTATTTTCTTTGTAAATTATTGTCTCAGTTACTTTTCTCTCGTGGCTGGGACAAAATGCCTGACATCCAACATGAAGGCAGAAAAGGTTTATTTAGCTCACAGCGTGTGGCGGTTTCAGTCCATACTCGGCTGGCTCCAAGGCAGAGCGGCACAGGGCAGAGGGCAGCAGCTCACGGGGGCGGAAAACAGCAAAGAGCGAAGGCACACGGGAGGAGCCGCGGCAGCAGTGGCCCGGCCAGCAGCAGTGGCCCGGCCAGCCTCTCTCCTCTCCTCCTGTCGCCTTCAGGCTCGCTGCCCCACGGCAGGTGGAGCGCTCACACTCACAAGCCCAGCAGCACTCAGACCCATAATCCCAGCCTTAGATTATGAATTAATCACAAACTCTAGAACTGCGCCTCAGTGACTGCCTGAAGGTTTGGGGGTGGGCACAACTACACACAAACCATAAGAATTAGCGAACTATGAGACACGTTTAAGATCAAGCCAAGCACAACCACTGGCCCATGCGCGTCTCGAGTGACCTCAGAGCTGCGGCACAGCTCACCGCCAGCATCTGCTCCACGTCTGGCTTTGCTGTTGACAGCGTCTCTCGGGCTTCCATTTCGTCCACAGCGCCCTGTCAGTATTCCCACCACGGCCCCCCCTCCCCTCCCACCACGCCCCACTCCTCCCCTCCCCCCACGGCCCCCCTCCTCCCCTCCCTCCACGGCCCCCCCTCCTCCCCTCCCACCTTTCTCCGTCCTTTTTGCTTTACTCTCTTCTAGCCACCATGAAAAACCCCTTTTGCCGTTTTTGCTTTTACTGTCTTCCACCGCCATGAGCTGCTGCCCTCTGCACTGCCGCACTGCCTCGGAGCCAGCTGGTTATGGCCTGAACCCTCCACAACTGTAAGCTAAATAAATTCTTCTCCCTTCAAAAAAATATTTCCACTTCCATCGGAAGTATCAGTTTTTCTTTACCACATATTGGACAATGTTATGTCTTTCTGAAGTTCAAGGATTGTGCTGTGTAACTTGACATTTTGCAATTGCAAGGTTTGCTCCTGTGTAAATTCCTCTGCTGGTCAACTTATGCTGTTAGCAAATGCAACGGCAGTTGGAAACTGGCGACGCAACTGCTGGCTGTCCGATTCTAATCCGTTTGGGGGAGGGGAGGGGAGCAGCACGCCTGATCCAACGTCGTGATTTATTCCTGCAGGAACGAGGGCCATCGGCCGAGTTCCGGGGTGAATTCTACACTGAAGGCAGAGTAAGTCTTTGCAGCTACAAGGGCACACATTTTAGGCCACACCTGTGGACCCGTCGCGTTTTGGTCTGCTGCATTTTAGTCTTTTACTTGCGTCAATCAGCGTGAGGAAATCCTTGACAGGTGCAGCAGTTCACGAGCGACGCATCACAAAAAATAATTTCTGTACTTGCACTTCAGCCTGCCTGTATTTCACAGCCTCTTGTAGCATTTATCACTGTTAATACTCATGGTGGGGCTGGCATTTTGCCCGGCACATTTTGTCCCTCACAAGACTTTCACTATATTTTCAGACCTAGTTTTTTTTTTCTTTGTATTTTAGTACAGGGTCTCACTACCTAACCTAGACTCAGCGATTTGCCCTCTCAGCACGCCGCAGGGGGAGGATCGGCGCGGCACTCCAGGGATCGAACCCCGGCTGCTGTGTCCGCCTAAGCAGGCTCTTTAGTTCACTGAGCTATTTGGCCAGTCCCAGACCTACACCTAATTTATTTTTTTAAATGTATTTAGTACAGGGTCTATAGGCTCTCACTACACAGATCGGACTCGTAGTGATCCTCTTGTTTTCAAGCTCTCAAGCACTGGGATTACAGGTGTGTGCCACCACACCCAGTCTCAGTCACTGTGTCAGTGAAATTGAACCCCAGTCCCTGCATCTGTCTAAACTGGCGCTTTAGTCCGATAGCTGAGCTACCTGGCTGGCCCTCCAGTCTAGTTCTTTTTTTTTTTTTTTTTAATTTTTATTTATTTATTTTTATTTTGTGTGTGTGGCCAGCTCAGTCCACCAGGGGG